GTTCGTACGTCTCCTCATGGTTGGTTTGGAATCAGGGTGTTTGGCCAACTCCCCTAGGTGAACTGCCAGTGGTCCACCAACCCGGCTATAGCCCCGGATATCGGCTTTTCGTCCTCTCACTTTGGTGGGAAAACATCTCCGCCGCGAGAAGGCAGTGAGTAGGGCTTCCTCAGCAGAGGCTATTTGAGACGCTTGGTCGTATGGGGGCATTTCGTGAGGTGCAAGGGTAGGATGACCAGCCGCAACACTAGACACCCACCCCCAACCATACTGAGGCCGTGGGAGGCAAGGTCACATCAACTAGCACACTAAACAGTTCTGCACACCCATACACTTCCATTACTCTCTGCCTCTGATTAATGACCTAAAATTGAGCCAATGGCTATTATTATGTAAGAATTTTTCCACAATATCATATGTAACAGCATGACTAGGAATATCCGAAAACAATTGTTCGCTCACCGACTCGTTTTCTCAATGCTATCATGTGAATATTCAAGCTTTTTAAATATCTATCATTCTGCTTCGTGTCCGCATGACAACACATTCCGATTTGAATCACTCTGTTCCCGATAAGCTTCCATAGCATTTTCTGTATCGGAAGTTTCCCGGAACCAACTGTGAATCAGATCAATGATTGAAGTAGATGCACATCGGTTTGTCAGGGAGGATATTCAGACAGCCATAGTCACTGTTATGCGGATCTTTCCGTAATACAGAGTATAAGGAATTGTGAGAATCTAGGAAGTTCATTCAAACTGGAACTTGAAGCGACGGAACAAAGAGATGGGAAACTACAAAATCATTCAACATGTGTTTACTCAGCGCAATCAAAGTGAAGTGATACCGTCGGAGTGCAATTTCTCAGCGTAATTTGAAGAGAAGAAATATGCTTGAATCTTCGTTTCTACATATCACCACCCCCCCCCCCCCCTCCAGTTGGTTGATCGCTTTTGTGTGTAGCTAGCAGTATCAATGAAGCGAGTGAGAGGTGTTGTAAACCGGAACAAATCAGAACCACGCAACGGGGTATTGGACGAAAAAATCCATTTTTGAGATTCGCCACAGGGTAGACAGTTATTCAATGAAAGCGGTATTTCTACCGCTATACCTATTTTCAACTGACTGAAGTTTGACGTGTAGGGGACACTTAATCATCAAGCAATTTCAACCCAATGGGGCGTATATGCTTTGTTTACAGTGGTCGTCATCAGCTCACCAATCGCATCCTGAAAATAGCTATTTGTCTTTGTCTTATTAGTTCCGTTGACTCACAAACGAAAGAAATGAACAAGTAAAATACGGACGAAGCCGATTCAAAGCTTTACTCAAAACTAACTACGTGATGTAAGATAGATACTATCTTGTTAACGGTTGAATATTCTTTTAAGCTTTCCTTCTTACGCATATTTTTGTCTGCTTAGATTTGACAGGATATGTCCCTTAACGTCTGATCATTCGCGACGCGACCCGGTTTGCGCAATACCCGCAACCTGAGGAGTTCAAAGTTTGAATTCCGGAGGAAATACTGTCTATCGGCTACTGTTGAGATTTAACAAGAACGAAACCCGAGTTCAGTGCTCTTAGAGTGGTTGACCGAATGTACTCAGGATTGTGTGAATACCATGTATTGAGGATAGCCAAAACAGAAGAATGTCGATTCTTGAGGTGGGCTGCGGTGGAGAAAATCATGATACAATACTTATTTAGATACGGAGAAAGTAGTATAAAAACTTTCAGCAGCTATGGATTCATTGGTATCCAAAGTAAACTATTTCAAACAGGTAATTCATCCCGAGCTGTTCACAAGAAAGTCGTCTACATCAAACTACCTTTAAGGGCAATCACCTTCTGAACGATGTGCACCAAAGGTAAAAAGTCAGCTCTGAACAGTACATTCCCAGTTACTCAATTTCAACTTATCGCCTCCACTCGTAGAATGGATTTAGAGAAACGTCCACACGGCTGGCAATCCAGTTCTGCTTCACACACTGTATACTAGTTCGGCTGCAGCTCTGGTGGCGCATACATGAGCAGACCCAACGTTCAATTATTACAACAATTAGCCGAACATATCCCAAGGTGATTGATGAAGTCGATGCCGTGACCCACTTGGTCATACGGCACCCGGGCTTATCAACTGCAATACAAATCAAGACAATCAAACACAATTAATTCCGTTTCCTTTTTCAAAACCTTGTTATGTAACTGAAATGCGAAGCTGTTGGTGATTATTGAGGCGTTGCTATTACGGTTGCAGCAACCCGTTCTGTGCGCCCAAAAGTTGTTGACGCGGTCATTTTACTTGCTGTGGTGCTGACCCGGTGTTTTCAAATAGAGTAGCCCCTGTTTTTCTGCACACTTCCGTTCACTAGGATTTGTTTTCTTCTGGTCTTGATGCGAGTTATAGATGGGAAACCGTCTCATATGAACTCCAAGAAAAACCTGCTTACAAAGTATTGAAAATCGGTTCTCGTATATTGGGTGAACTGAATTACATTTCGCCTGTTCGCCGAGCAAGGCAATTTGTTTGCAAACGTCTCATTGTCACCCGAGGTGACATCATCAGTGTTTGCGAAGTGGCCACTTCACAGTTAAGGTTATCGAGTATTTTTAACACTAAAACGACGAAGGTGTCCATGAGTACATCAACTCGTACCATGAACTACTAAACTGTTTCGTTTTCCACAGTGAACGCTAGAAATTTTGTGACTTTTCCCGGGTGATAGGTTTCGTGCATTTCCTATTATTTACACTCAGAACCCTTTACATTCCACGAACGGGTATTTTTCACGAACAGGCAGATAAGGATTGCACCCGGACAGCAAGGATAGTTTGTGCTATTCGCTTCGTCTCCAAACCAGATAGCAATCGATTCTCAGCACTTCAGAGGTTACCTCGCTCAACTCCAGCATCATTTCGATATGATTGGTGGGATTGCCATCAGTACACTGTTTGAAGGAGAGCCTTGCTCAAAATGGCAACCGACCAATAACTTACATTGTGAATATGACGATTAGAATAGATTTCGAATCAGCCAATTGACTGCTCGAATATGTTGAGTATGCTCATGATAAAAAGGCAAACTGTGAGTTGTTATTTTGTAGTTCGCATCTCATGCATCTGAGCACAGCAGTAGATATAGAATGAGAACTAGGTTGTTTTCAACCGACGAATCATTCGAGACTGAACACGTCCGCATTCGTTTCATTGATGATTCAACGGGAATGCATGTGTCCAACACTTCTAAGGGTAGGGGAAAAACGGAAACGACACAGAATACTCAGGTTCTCTGTGATTGAGCGGACGTTTCAGGCTGTCATTAGCACAGTTGCAGCTAGCTGTTACCGCCGGTTCACGTCATCATAGCTTCGTCGGACATACTTCATTCTACGACTGATAAGTTCGTTGTGCGATTGTGGAGCCAGTGAAGAAATTTTCACAATGAAACTGCACACATTAGAGAGGATATGACAGAATCTAATGAAGTCGTAAAAACATATTATTGCTATACCGGTGTATCAAATGTTCGCTTAACCCTATGCGAATGGCTTCGTGATATTATTCGAACTAAATTTGTCACTCCGATGTAAGTGAAAGTTATTGCTGATGTGTGAGTATAAGCATCGTTATCAGGAATACGTGTGATGAGAGGCTTTCGGAGGGGGGGGGGCTGTGTGAAATGCAGATAATCTGTGAGAATTCCTGTTACAATTGTGCGTAACATTGGTATATCAAATTTGGTGTCTTTAAAAATCTCTTTAGGATCATTCTGATACCACTAGAATGATTCGTTTATTACAATTATCCGCGGAGATATAACGGAAGCTGTTTTTATGAACAGGCGGTCTGTCTGACCCGTATCACATCCTTTTAGTATTCAGATGCGAGAATGGGAAAAAAATTAACTTACCTTCTGTTGCACTCGATCCGAACAATTGTACTCTTTCACTGGCCAGTGTGTTGTTGATGAGTGAAACAAATTCCTCTATTGTTTGACATTCAATCGCAACTCCGTACGTGTGACTATATGCGGACCAGTAACCGCGCGACGGACAGTGACGAATGTACCCGGCTAGAGATATTGGCTCTCCGGGCGTGCACGATAAACTGTCTGTCGGATCTGTTGACTCGCGCAAAGCACACGCGATCTGTTTGGCCGTTTTCTCCTGTGCGCGTAAATCCAATAATTCCCACCAACCACGACAGCAAGTCCAATGAAATTGTTTCGGCATGGTTCTATTCATCCATTCTGTCGGTATGGTCAGCAGAATCGGTCGAATTGCCTCGTCATCTTCCAGATACCTCTGTGGTTTCGGTTTCCACCAGACCTGAAACCTTTTATTCACCCCGAGCGGTAATGTGTAGTGCGTAGGCAACTCGGTGAAGTGATTTTTTGAACAGAACACAATGTAGCGAAAAAGACGTGCTTTTAGTGATTTATCTTCTTTAGCTAATACGTCACAATTTATATAAAGTCGGTTAAAATACAGGAGGGCAGAGATTTTCACAAACATAACCGTGTGTGACTCACTCCCTTTAGCGGCAGTAGGACTGTTTCAAAATTTATTTATATGACTAATAATAATGATAACCATCTATTTACTAGTTTCTTGTTCTGAATAAAAAAATAATCTATCCATGGTCCTTGAGGTGCTCTACTCAACAAGTCGGTGATGATTGTTGGTACTTTAACTGTCTCAGAGACCAAAATGGATGGGAACATTTTTTGGCGGTTATGCATTTATTAAAGTTGTAGTAAACATCATAAGTTGTATACTAATTTTATTTGCATCATCGAGTTTTTCTCTCTGCAGAAAACCCCGTTAACTCCTTTACCACTGCTGTTATGATCAGTGATTACTGTTAAGTGTTGACGTACACCCTGGGAACTGAATCTTTCAGGGAAAACTAAACATAACAGGAATATACGAACTCAGTCAGAACTTACAACCTATCAAGAGGGTTGAAAACTATCCAATAAACCAATGATTGTGTATATGCATTCCCTATAAACAAGCATTCTCAACGTCCAATAAATGTAGTCCTGCAATCTGAGTTGTTTTTTTATCTCACTATCTATGAACTACCCCATATGGATGAGAACCGTTAACGAAAGACGATCAATTTGAAATTCGTCATCAAGACTAATCAGCCTGGTCGCAACAATTACACCCGCTGGTCCCATTAGGATGCAAACTGGCAACCAAGTTGTTTTTTGGTGCTTCATTACCTATAATCAAATGCATCTCAATAATATGGATGGAAACGGGTGGTGAATGGAGGAAAAATTAAGAGACCGCCGGGAGTTTTGAAGCAAAAGTTCACATTAAAGTAAATTACAGTAGAGTATTCCATTTTTTATACGCCATTTACGTAACGGTGTTATCAAGGGATGGTCATGGTGACTTCCAGCTCAAACGCATTGTTTTTAAGCCCACAGAGGAGCGATATTCAATCGAATCGTTTCCAGCCATCTATGGTATGAATGGGTTGGGATCAAAGGAGATCTGCAGTTTTCGTCCCTGAGGCGATCGCGAAAACAATGTCAGATCGGAATATAAATTTGATTTGATGCCTGTTTATTTGTGTGAATTCGCATTTCAACCCTCTCCATAGTCTCATAATTTGTACTCGGATCCATCACCCGTTTTCACTTGCATGCTTTTACTATAGATTTGGCTAGTTAATGATACAAGGAAAACGGGCTTGTTCACCACCTTATCTTCTTCTACCATTATTTTGCCTCATTGAAAGATAAAAGCGGGATGTAACTCCTTTTGCTAGTATGAGCGATCGGCTCAGCAAGCATAAGAGTACATTTTCAAATAAGCAAACTGAAGACATCATGTGTACGCATGGTGTGGAAGATCACGCAGGAACGAGTCACCCAGAGGAGCGGACAGCTCAGTGGTGAAGTTTGACTGACTGGAGAAAACCGTTCTTAGAATGGACGAAGTCAATGGGAAAGTATTCTTACAATTGTTCACTGCGCACATCGTCAAACTTTTACGGTATATATTTAAGGTAGAAATATCCCAGCAGATGCTGTTTACTTTTCGTACACCTATTTTATTTATTTTCATTGTTAAAAAAACATCTTATACTCTCCAAATTATTTTTGATGGTATCCACATTACCGAATGATAAATATGACCCGTACTTATGGCTCAATAATCACAGCATGTTTTAAATTTTAAATAAATCGATGAATCCAATCAGATTTGCAAAGAATAAATGAAATCCACCAGTAGCATGGTATCTCACTGTGACTTACTCATTATAGTTTGGTTCCGAAATATTCTCATCTACGATAACACATGTACTTGGAATGGATCGGTTAAGTGCATCCGTGGCACTGGGCCTGTATTGAAATATATTACATTGTCGATTGTTTTCACACGCGCTTAAGCACGCTTCGAACTTGGTCCACACCTGAACTGGGGCTTGACAATTCGGATTTGAACTAGTATTAGTGGGCGGTAGCAATCGCATTGTCCTCAGTTCCTGTTCGATCACGTCCAGTGAGATCACTGCAGTCCAGTAGCCGGGACAACGCTGAGTATTGGGCCTGCTGCACGATGGCTGTTCGTTGTTACATTTCCAGACAAACATTGGAACACCGTCTGGAGTAATCTGACGATTACCAATGGGATGCAACAAAATGTACGAGAGTGCACTTGACGTTCAGCACTGATCACTACTACGAGGCTGCAACGGGTTCTAACGGGTTCTGCAAACGAGGTTAATAGCGGAAAGAGTTCCGCTATTAACCTCGTTTGCTCTCGATACGCCAGACTGCATTTCATAATCAGAAAACTTCCCATTCTCCGTCCCATTTACCATAGGTTGGCATCAGTAATGCGTCGCATACACCCACCGGTAACATCCATAACCTTCTTCGTAAGATTTTAATCGATAGTACGTGCGATATACTACCGAAAACAAAGAAAGTCGGATGATGAGAGCTCACGGCTGACATATAGCGAAACGTTTGATTGTGTTTGAAATATATCTCTTTGGAGTACTGTTGGTATTTACAGCATAGGAGGTGAAAGAATGCTAATATCTAAAATCGAGAAGGTTACTTTCCCAGATTAGGACAGCACATCAATTGTAAAAAGAAAATTCCAACATTTTCTCACCAAAGTATTTTATCCTCCAGAATCCAAATGCTAGGGTACGAATTAAAAGAATTGATCGTATCTCATTCCACGCCAGAATCAGCTTTGAACCACTGTAGTATAAAACCATTTACAACATATTTCTGGTATGCAGTGTGAGTATTACGAGCATTCAGTGTTGATCCTCTAATGTCTTGTACAGACATTAGAGGTTTCGGGGTTATATACAAGAGTTCGGTGTTCCTTTCACTTTCGGTCAGTTTCATTGACTGCAGACTTATATACGGTAGCCTATATCTAATTAACTGACTTTCGAATTAGCTGACCGCAAAGCTCGAATGGGCTCGCTTTTCGTAGGGCAACAACCCAGAATTATGTTAACTTACTGAAATCACTATACTCACAAATCTCTGAACAAGTGAGGATTTATGAATAACTAAGTAGACCATTTATCACCAGCAGAAGCTTTCATCAAGTGCGTTCTATGTCGCCTATGTCGGCATTTCATTTTACACGAAAAACCGGAGAAAGCACCGAGTGGCATCCAAAATGCAAGTACTAGATTGGAAGCTGAAGAAAAGGTGTGCGATATAGAGTACACTGAAGATATCCTCTGTCTGTTCGGATATCGCTTACTCCCGCTCTGAGACTAACTGACCAGGAATTAGTTATAGTGGATTGCTTTTTCTACTAAGGTAGTTGCGTAAACAATGGCCGTAGCGCAGCGATGAAGAAAACTATACGCATTTGGGTATAGTCACAAGGTTTTACTGGAGTTGAAAGCTCGCGCATATCGTGCTACCGTTCGTTCAGTTCTGCTTGATGTTTGTGAGACTTTGAATTTGCAAGTCGAAGATACCCATCAACTACATGGGACGGGGCAAAAGGGTCAGTAATCCGGAGTTGTGCCATCGTCCGTTTGAGAGTTTATTGTGAATAGATTTGCTAGCTCATGGAATTCAGATTACCAAACTTCGCTGGTTAGGGCAGATATCACGCATGCCCAGCTGTGGTCTGCCGCACCGCGTCTTGTTCGCTCCAACCGCTCCGGGCTGAAGGAAGCCGTTTGGAGGTCGACAGATGACGTACAGACCAGGCATGGAGAAATACGCACAGCATTTGGGTAACGCGGGTATCTTCCTCCCTCCAGGTTGAGGCCCAAAATGCTGTTTGGTCGAATATACCGAAGAATATCGCACCAAACCGACGGCATTGGCTTTATTGTTATCATTTAGTGTAAGACCAAAAAATGTATTTATATGGATCAAAGAAGTTCATCTTTCTCCGTCCCTGAAAAAAACCCAGTCCCTGTCCACCTTATATATTCTCATTAATTTTGTATGCAGTTTGAGACTGGTGGCGCTCAGAGAGTTGTGCTTCACGGTATTTTCTTTTAGAATAATAATATAAATAATAATAATGATAATAAGTCAGTATTCAGATAAAAAAAATTACATTAAAACAATGAGGGCATTGAAATGTTAACAACTTTCCATGTAAATTCATACACGAAGTAGTACAAAATACTCACAAACAATTATAATCTTTCCACTAACTTTTCGACCACCAAAGATCAAGATCAATAGTTTTCCGTTCACAAATTTCAAGGGGGTCAGATTTTCGGTTAGTCGATTTTACGGTAAATCTTTCAGTGGTTCAAAAGGCCTATCTTTAATCTCAGTCAAGTTTCATCATGTCTATCGATCGATAGGCATAGGGGTCAACGAGTGTTTATAATTTTATTTTCTACTAAGATTGATGCTGCAATGTTTAGTTAAAAAATGATGCGTGATGATCGTGTACTGCGCAGTTAACCGTCCTAACGGTGTCAGATGTAGCAACGCGAATAAACTGATAAAAATACCTGGGATGTTTTCGTGTTAATTATGTTTATGAATCTTGGACTGTTAACGTATCCGCTTCTCTGAGCGTGCACCTCGTTAAAGATACCACTTTTATTTTAATTCTTTCAGGGCTTGTAACAGCAAAAAGATATATCATTTATGTTACATGAGGATTTTTACTTTGAGGAGTTAAGTATTTCGGATAGTTTTCTATTGCAATACCCTCGTGTGGTATTCGATCCGCCGGCAACAGGACCTTTTTAAACACCAGGAAAGGTGACAGTAATATTTATAGTACCCAATTTGCCATTGTACACATAAGTCACATGTATAACACTTGAAATGAATGAAGACAAAGTCCTTTATCGTTTTACCGGCGTGATTGAATGTTCACGCGGAGGAGGACAAAATCTGCCGTACTGTTGAAACAATAGATAGTGAATAAACTCTCAAAGCTGAATCTTTAAAGACGAAGTTCAATGAAGAGTTCATGAAATACTTGTGTGATGTCACTGAGAACCCATAGACGCGTTGAAGCAATTAAAGAAGGGAATAGAGAAGGACTTCTCAGGCGCACTGATCGTTAAGACATTGATTATTCGGTTGCTGGATGGACATCATTATTCGGTCAAAAAGCTGACAATTCATTTTGCAGAATGAACCTCGGAACTATCAAATCCACTTGCTAACAGATATCTGGTTACGTGACCTTGAGGTTGATAAGATTAACTACAGCATGCGGTGCTGCCGCAGCTATAAACACTCTAAATAGAACTTTAAAGCCTTTCGTGGTCTTTCGGTCAGTAAAGAAACTGGCAGAAACGGAACAACACGTTCGTCTGTTGTCGGCATTATGAAAAACGAAGATTATTGTAGTAATGGTAACAGTTACGGATGACGGATTACGAACCACGGTCACAAGTGAAGGACGGAATCGCACTAGCATTCGTACCCCGGAGTCTCCCGTCACCGTGATGCACGAAAAAGGCCACAGAAGTAGCGGTTAATTTTTTTGAAGAAAATCAATAGGATCAAATAATATGTGCAACCAAACGTCACTGGTTAAACAGGCCCTCGCCAATTCTTGACATCATTCTGCTTCCGATTGGTTGGCACTATTTGTCTGTAGTTCATTGCCCAGAAACCGTAACGCGTCGCACTGTTGCTATTGTTATCTCGTAGACTAGGATCACCACAACTACCTGACTCACTTTTACTTGGCTTATATGAAACGTTTTCGCGTCAATAGCTACTGAGTAAACAGGTACTACAGTGCTTTTTAACCTTTAGCAATGCACCCGTTCATCAGAGGACTTTGTTGAAATTACTAAATTCGCTTTTTTGATCAAACAGTCCCTTTTTAGACAAACTGACAAAAGAGTTCAGTAAATTCAATAAAATAAATTTTAAGATAATTCAAAGTAGAACAAGAAGTGGCGAACAATCTCGTTTTCCGTGATTCGTAGTCATGCCAAATACATCACAATAAATATCACGCTGTTTACGTATGTAGCAATGTTCAACCATGAAAAAAACAAATCAATTGTTTCAGGAAAGGGAAAATAACATCATAGGTTAACTGGGGCTAATTTTGTCTTAGGACTGGACGTGGGATTCGCAATGAGCAAGGCAGGTTGGATGTCGTATGCTGGCCAAAGCGGAAGCGGTAAGAATTCGGCTGCACAACGCCCTCTGTATGCCTAAAAACAATTTCTGCAGGTGCTTAAGCTCCCTTAGCCCACTCCCCACAAAACCCATATACCGAGTGGTTCCAACGATCAGATGACCGGACAATTATGTGATCATTGAGAATCCCGCGTCCGGTCCTGAGACGAAATTAGCCCCAGATGTTATTTTCCCTTTCCTGAAACAATTGATTTGTTTTTTTCATGGTTGAATATTGCTACATATATAAACAGCGTGATATTTATTGTGATGTATTTGGTATGACTGTAAATCAATGAAAACGAGCTTGTTCGCCACTCCTTGTTCTATTTGAAATGTTCTCTGTGGGACTGTTTAGACAATTAAAGTAATTGAAACGAAAATATTATTCCCATTCAAAACTGGTTCATGGAAAACACTGCAGTCATACGAGACGTGGTTTGACGATACGATAGTATTATTTAAACCTCCAATCCAATTGCGATGCAGCAATCGATATTATTGCAATGGTTAACTGCACAGTACACTATCATCACGCAACATTTGTTAACTAAATTTGTTAACTAAACATCAATCTTGATAGGAAATTAAATTTAAAATACTTGTTGACCCCAGAATATTTTGACACATTTGGATCTGACCCGCTTAAAGCAACACAACCAAAGCCTGTGTCTTGAGACTGTACGACCAAGGGTGAGGACTAAAGGATTGCGAGTTAAGGCTAGATGATGGTGGGTCGAGGTTAAAGGATTGTGGGTTCTGGTTAAAGCTTGATGGGAAAAGGTGTAGATACACAGTGGTGTCTGAGTGTTGATGTAAAATGTAGCTAGTTTTTCAATGGGTAGCAAAGCTCTGGTTGATGTCGCAATAAGCTTCAAGTTTCCACGGTTTGCAAAATTTTACGTACAACACCTGTTTCATTTAGAAATCCACTGTTTCTCATGGAATACTGGACGATAAAAAGTACAATCTCTAGAAATGAGTTGAAATTTACTTGCTGCATCAGTTTGTTTTCCACCTACATGAACAGCCATCTTCGGATAGAGTATACAGGTCTCCAGACCGACATGGTCTGTTTGAAAACGCGCTGCCCAACAGCCCCTGTGCAACAAACAAGCCATACGGCACGAGTCACTTCCATGCGGCAAGCCGATTATTCGAGTCAGTTCTTCTCTCTCGGGATATGCTGCACCTCTGATTGGGTCAGCGGTGACCAGCATTAGATGACCGACACATCGTTCCACCGGTTGCTCCGGAAAGAGCACACTTTGATCCAGAGCCACACAATGCAACCACACCGAAAGAGTAAGAAAAAATACATGTGGGGCTGCAAGTATGTTGGTTCCCATTACATTTGTCGAGTTATCTGAAGAGGGATCAAGAAAAGAGTGACAAAAACAGTGGAATTAGCGCAATATCGAAATTTTTAACCTGTTCTCCCATTATTCCCAGCTTTTATCGCTTTGGGTCACTTATTCACCGCATTTATTAACCAGAACTTGATCTGAGGCAGCTTTCTTCATGTGAGCATGTTTTTTACGCCCAAGCATTGAACACTTTTGGGACGATGGAAAGACTTATGGTGACCGACAAATAGCACCGGGCAGGCGTTTCATCCCTTATGTGACTTATCAGTTGCGTCTATTTTTTGCGTCCCTGTCAGGACTGGAGCCGCGAACACTGGGGTCGGGACTTCAAACCCTTAACCCTAAGTCACGCAGTTGACAGTCATCTCCTTGTGCGAATAGTTTAAGCAATTAAGATTAGGAACTTTGAAATAATCCAAGGCCATCTGAGGCCTGTGAACAAACGATTCGATTCTTCGTCTATTTGCATCCCACCTACCCTATGTGAGCACCCACTGCCAGTTCATTTTGATCATGTACCCTTTCGTTTGCCTTTCCACATGCACGTAGACCCTAACGCTCAAGCACACATCTAACCCGGACCGTTCGTGTCAAACTTTGATTGATATCTATCTGGTCCAACAACAGATGACCACGTGAGCCTTTGCCCTTTCGATGTTGTTTGATTCTGGCCAAGGCGTTATGGTCTCCTTTATTCAGCTCTTACCTGCGAACCTCAGTCGCCTTGTGCGTTCGATGAATCGCCTTGGAAACGCCACGAATTGAAGTGTATTTTTTAAAATTTATTTACATGTTTGTTTATCCTAGTGCCGCTTCAAACAGATACCTCAGACCTGCGCGTAAGCGGTCGCGGACGAGCAGCGGCAGCGCTCGAGGATGTGGTGGGTTTACTCCTGGCA